CTGCGCCCCCGCCCCCCCCCAGCCCGCTCTCTTTGCCCTTCGGGGTGGCGGCTGGTGACCCCCCCCCATTAAAAGACCCCCATCCTGGTGCCTCTATGGACCCTCCGGGCATTTTCATACCAGCCATGTAATGGGCTCCATCCCGCTCCGGGTCCCCCTCCACGTGTTCCAAATCCAATAAACAGGTGCCTCTCCTGGTGCTTAAAATCATCACCATTTCTCCATTTCCCTCTTTCCACCCGTTAAAGGGCAGAGAGGAGGGCGCAGCTTTCTGGCTTCCCAGAATGCGAGAGAGGGTTTTTTTTTCCAGAACCTTCCATCCCCTTTTCGAGTTGCTTGCAGACTTGCCCAGCATCTCTTCTACCCCCTCCTCTTTTTATGAACACCTTGGGGTGCTGAGCCCCAGACAGAAGCCCAACGCCCTGGCTTTCCCTCCGTGTGGCCCCAGACCTGTCACAGGAGCTGTTCAGCAACTCTGTTCTACCTAAATCTGAAAAATGTTGGAAATGTCATCAGATACCTGGCTCATATATGTGGTGGACTTGTGCGATGCCAAAAAATATTGGACTAAAATCCACACGCGGTTGGAAAAAATGACAAAAAAGCATATAGACTTGAAACCAGAGATATGTTTATTCAGGTATTTATTTTACCTGAAATATATAGTAAAGAATTGAAATACCTGATTGTAAATGTATTAACAGCAGCTAGGATTGTATTTGCCAAAAACTGGAAAAATGAGAAAATACCATTACAGGACGAAATCATTAAGAAAATATTGGAATGTGCTGAAATGAGTAGATTGACATGTGAAATCAGAGAACTAGATGGTAAATAATTTTATAAAATTTGGGATCTATTCTATCAATGGTTAGACAACAAAACATGGTAATGAAATATATAGATTCTTAGAAAATAATATATAAAGATGTATTCTTTTCTTATTATATCTACAAAATGATCGTAGGATAGATTTGAGATAATATGAACTGTCATAAAACAAATTAAGTAAAATATGGATTATTTTGTAAAACATGAATGAATCAAGGTATAGTCAAATGATTAATGTATTTAATATTTGATTGAAAATAAGAGAATATATACAATGTAATTGTAATTGAAGACTCCGAAGTGGAAGCACAAAACAATTTGTAAACCCACCAACACACTGTATGCATATATATGGAAGATGGCTTGATGTTTTTATGTTTTGTTTGTCTATGTTTGTCTTAAAAACTAATATATATTTTTTTAAAAAACTGTGTTCTACCTGGAGGGCCTGATCAGCCTCCTCCCTGGTGCTTGTCACCCTCTCACCCTCTTCTCCAACTTGCTCAGACCAGCCAATTCCTTTGGGAATTGGGAATTGGTGTCCCTCACGGGCCTCGGTCTCCTTGGCCTTCTCCGCTGGTTCAGGTGGCAGCTTCTCCTGTCCGCTGCATTCACTGTTGGACGCTCCTGAGAAGTTGCTCCCTGATCTCGGGAGGCAGCCGAAGCCTTTTCCTCTGACAGGTGGGGATGTAACACTAAGGCCTCTCCAGGGCCATAAGGGAGACCCCTCCCCAATCTGTCCCAGCCTCCTCCTCTTCCCCCTCCCTCCCTCCCAGGGTCAGAGGCCTCGAAGAAGATTCTTAAGCTTTGGGTTTGTGACTCAGAGCAACTCACAGCCCTGTAACTTCACCAACAGCATCAGGTGATATTTAAAGCCTTAAAAAAAAACCACAGCCGCATGCTTGGCGCATTCCTCACCCAGCAGTCAGCCTATCAAAAGATTTACTCTCCAAATCTAATAATAGTGCCTAACTTCCAATGAGAGGGAAAGCACCAGCACTATTTTAAGGCATTTGGGCCCTCAGAACAAACAGTCGTAAACTTTGTCAGCTGATTAAGAGGCACCAGATTTTTCCTGGCGGGGCATGTTAAGGTCCGGGGCATGCGGGGCAGCCCAGGCAACCCTCCTTGCAGCCAGCCAGGGTTCTTTGGGGCAGTGGGCTCTGCAGAAACAGGGGGGGGGAGAAACACCCCCTGTGGGCAAAGGGACAGTCTGCAGCCTTAGTGGCAGATGGGAGAGGTGCACTACCAAATGCACACGCAACTTGGGGTGGTGCAGGACACTCAACTCCGCAAGCCCCAGAGGGCAGGACAAGCAGCCACAGATGGAAACTCATCAAGGGGGGAAGCGACCTGGCATGGAGGAAAACCGTCCCGACAGGGAGGACAAGTAGCAGTGGAACAGCTGGATTCCAGAAGTTGTGGGGGCTCCAACACTGGAAGTTTTCAAGAGGAGACGGGCAACCATTTGTCCAGAACGGAATAGAGTATCTTGCTGGAGCAGGGGGGAGCACTGGAGACCTCCCATGCCCCTTCCAACGGTTATTCTGCTCCAATTCCTGGATGGTCTTAGGAAAAGCCTGGCCAGGTGTAGCTATAGAGCCAGCCATGGTTGTCTGAAGTACAGGATCTGAACCCAAACCCACCTTCCCTTTTGTTCCCTTCGAGAGACGAGCAGAGCTGAGCTTCGGATTGGGAGAGCCGGAGACAGCTGGCAAATCTGGGGAAGACCCTTGGCTCCAACAAAAAACGAGGTGGCACCTTCACACTTGACTCGTTTATTAGGGTGTAATCTGGGAGTAGCCATCCTGCCCGTAATAAAGGTGTCACCCTTAAGTTGATCTGTGTTGCCTTGGGAGGGGCAAACCAACATTTTGGCTCCTCCTTCCTCCGAGTCCAGTGCAGCTTCAGGGAAAAGGCCGCCAAGACCAGGAGCTTGACTGCCCTACCTGGGAAAATCCTAGCAACCCCCATCAAATGGTTGGTCTGCAGGCTTTTTGGGGGGTGCGACAGGATCTGGCTAGATTAATAAAGCAAGGAAATGCTGCGCCTGTAGCCCACCATCCCCCAGAAAGGCACTTGGTGACCTGGACCACAGCCGCCTCCGTCCCAAAACGGTACAGGGAGGGGGGCACAACAATGTACCCCGTGAAGTCTGGGGGCCTCCTTGGGGCTTCCTCCGAATGCCTGATGGCTCGGAAAAGTTCTAGGAGCCAGGAAAGGGGCTGCTGCGTCAGCTCCGTCGGGCTAAGGGTGTTCTAGGAATGCGGCCCCTGGACTCCCAGGGCTGGCATGAGACTGGCGCTCTGGGACCCCCAGCCCTGGCACTGCCCGCGTCAATGAGTGAGCGGGAGCAGCAGCTGCGGCTGTTCCCCAAAGCACGAACTCTCTGCTCCGTCGGGTGTCTTCAGCCGGGTCAATTTTGCTGCTCCACAAATAGATGGTGCCCCCCCACCCCCAAATTACTAAAAGTGACTGAGTAAAAATAGTCAGGGGGGAGGGAAACACTCCCAGGGCCCTCAAGAGAGTCAACTCAGGCAGTTCGTCCAAAGCAAGTTTTGCCTGTAGAGAGGCCAGGATTTACTTTGGAATAAAAAGGCAGAGAGTGGTTTTATTTTATTTTCAAACACATCAAGAGATCTTTTTGTGAGAATGTTTGCAATTATTTGGAGATGTGACAAATAAATAATAGAGACTTCCCTTATATTATTTATTTTTTTTAAAAGCTCAACATTATAAATATATTATCCTCAGCAAGCTTCAGTTGCTGTGTGCATAAACATCTGGGCGTAAAAAAATTACAACACTGGATTTAGATTTGACTGGCATAATATCCCTTCTGTTCCCTAATCCTGGCTGACCGTAATTTCCATAACTATCTTATGCAATAATTTTAGATGAAGCAATACCGTTCTAACAATTAAACAGAAATGCTTGCGGAAAAAATACACCTTAGCAGGGGAACATTGTGGGACAAATTTTCCGGCAAGCTTCCACCCCACGGCAGCCCCGCAAAGGGAGGGAGGGCAGGAGGCAGGGTGTCTCTCCTGCGAGTGGCCTGCTCGGCTAAAGCCACGGGAGGCTGGAGACCTTTGCTGAAAGTGCTGGGTGCTAGGCCCCCCCAGCCGTGGCCAAGGTGGGGGCAGGAACGCCAGTAGCAGTGGAGTCGCTTCTTCCAGCAGGCAGGGCTCTCCGTTACCAGCCCCCCTTCCCCAACCATGGCCCCCCACCTTCAAGGGCCGAAAGATGCCAGAACCCCACAAGGGGGACCCGATGGTTGCCAACAGCATTTCTGGCCTGCAGTTTGACTCAGTGCTGAGGCGCCAAAGTTCAAGCCAGCCGCTCTGCCCCACAGCCAACGTGCCAGCCGCTCTGCCCCACAGCCAACGCGCCCTGGAGCAAAGCAGCGCAGGACCAGCAGGGCAGAGCACCCAGCAGGCGGCCAGCATCTTCTGCAGGCAGAAGGCAGCCTTGGGTGCAAGTAGTGATGAGTGCCTCCCCCCCCCTCAAGGCTCAAGGGGGAAGCAACACATCCAGCTCAGGAGCAGGGAGGGAGGGAGGGAGGGGTGCTCGGGCCCCCTCCCCACTTGGCCTGCAGGTGATGCATCCAGAACAGTTGCGGGGGGGGCCCTCCAAGCTTGTTCTGGGGCTCCCCATCTTCCTGAGCCAGGACCCCCCCAGGCCTTTGCTGGACCTGAACCCCCCCACCCCCCTCCGCTCGGGTCCTGAGAAGCCCGGGCTCTCCGCCAGGCCGCATCTTTCTTCGGGCCGTGCGCGCAACGCCACCGGGCTGCAGAGCGGGGAGAGCCACCCGCCGGCCCGGCCTTCCGGGGCTCCTCTGCTCGGGCAGGGCCCCTTTCAGCCCGGGCTCCTCTGCGCGGGAAGCATTCAGACGCAGCGGCGGGCCAGCGTTAGACTCCGGGAGACCCGCCGGGGGTGAGCCGGTGTGGAGCGCCAATCCCGGGGACTGAACCTGCTAGCCGCGCCCTCCGCAGCCCGGCCTTCGGGGAGGAGGAGGAGGAAGGGCGGCTCCCCTCCGCCGGCGCGCCCTTTCTGCCGGGCCTCGGGGAGGCCGCCGCCCCCGCGTCCGTCTGGGGCCCCTCCGCGCCGGCCAAGTCCCATCTCCGCAGGCGGGAGCGAGGGTCCCTCCGCCCGGGGGTGGGGCGGGGCTAGGAAGCGCCCCCGTCTTTCCTCTCCAGGCGCGGCCGGTACTTCTGGGCGTAAGGCGCCGGGCTGGCGGCGGCGATCGACTTGAGGCGCATGTTCCGGCCGGAGGTGATGAGGTCCCCGAAGCCCTCCTGGTGCGAGAAGGCGTAGCCGGAGCGGCGGGAGGCGCTGCGCTGCAGGTAGCGCTTCAGGGCGGGCGGGGCGGGCGATTTGCGCAGCTGCTTCACTCGGCGCACCACCTGCGCGGGAGACGGGAGGCCGGCTGAGTCTCCGAGCCCCGGGACCGCGCGGGAGGCTCTGCCTTCCCCCCAGGCGGGGCCCTTGGGGGGCAAGCAGCGCCCAGGGCAAGGGGGGCCCAGGGAGCCTCCCGGCAACCTTCCCCTCCCGGCAAGGCCCCCCCCCCCGCCCTCTTCCCCCCCCCCCCCCCCCTCCCCCCCCCCCTCCGGCCCGGCCGCCCCCCCCCCCCCCCTTCTCCCTCTGCCCCGCTGTGGCCCCCCCACTTGCCCTCCTCCTCCTTCCCCAGGGGGTCCCCCTTCCGGACCCCAGGCCGCCTTTCCCCTCTTCCACTGGACACCCTATGCAGGGCGGCCACCTGGGAGCTCAGCTGCTTTGGACCTCACTGACTGTGGAACCGAAGGCAGTTGGACCGGGACCCTTTTCGGTTCTTTGACCCTCAGCACACAAGCTAGAACTGGCCTTGTGACTCACTACATTGTTTCTTATGGGACAAATCTGTTCGCTTTGGGTCCTGGTCACGCCTCCTCCCGGGATCCGTGGGCGAGGAGCCCCCAGGGAGTCCTGGGCTTGTTCCCTGCCCAATACAACTGCCCTGGCCGCCTGCCCACTGACGTCCCGGTCCAGGCTCCGGGCTCCATCGGGCAGCCTACCTCACTTGCTGTGAAAATACCTGGATTTCCCTGCCGACAATCCGGCATCCTAAAGGCGCTTCTGCTTTCTGTCCCCCCCCTCCCCCGTGTCTGTCCTGACTGAGGAAGGCGCCATCGATGCCCCCAAGGGACCCCCATGCCTTCCGCTGACTCTGCCCCTCGTCCTCCCCTTCCGTCCAAGGTCCAAGGGCGGCTCTGCCTTCACTCTGCCACGCACCTCGGCCTTTTCTGCGTCCACTTCCACACTCCTAATGGGTCCCTGGCCAGCTGAAGAGGGAAAGCCTGCCCCCCCCCCCCGTGCCCCGCTAGCTTTTATGACGGGCGCCTCTCCTCCCGTTGGGTGGGGGCTCTTCTGCCCAACTCTTTCCCGGGCACATTTATTAACACACACACACCTGGTTTCACTCTGGCTCCTTGATAGTGGAACAAGCTCAGCCGCCTCACCATCGCCAAGCGCAGGGCAGCCTCTGCACGCCCTGCAGAGCTCTCCCGTGGGCAAAGCGGCCTGCGAGGGGGGGGGGACTCTCCGGTTGTGCCGGCTGCTGCTCCTGTCGCCTCCCCCCTTGCTGACCTCCGGCTCCCCCCTCAAAAGCGCTGTGCGTTGCCTTGACTTTTCTGCACTTTCGCCCTCCCCCTTTCCTTGCCCCCATGCTCTTCCCTCCCTCCTTCAGCCACAAGCCTTGGCAGGGGGGGAGGGGGGAGGCTTCCCCCTCTTTCCCACTCCAGCCCCCCCCCTCCTTCCCTGGCTCTCCATTGACAGACCTCACCACTTTCCCTGGGGGTGGGGTGGGGGGATTGTTCCTGGTTTTTCATACTGGTTCTCTTGGGGGTGGGTGGGAGGGAGGGCTGGGGCTTGACGTCTTCCCTTTCCTCTCGTTTCCCAGGGAAATACTTAAGGCTCCTGCAGAAATACAAGCTCCCCCCCCCCCCCCCCCCCCCCC